TTATAAAGAATTTATCTGTATTTGGGCTTCGCAGTTAACCGCCGCAAAGTAATAATGCTTTTACTTAAATTTCTACTCTGTGATCAGTTTACCTTTAAGTAGGAACTGACGCTATCATACGCTTTTGATTAAATACATCTTATCCGTTCCAAATACCAATTTCTTGTAATCAGCCAAGTTTATTTCTCATCAAACACTACCAATCAAATTATTTCAATCTTTTCAAACTCCTTATTGAAGCACTCACTGCGCTAGTTAACAATTACGATTCCCATTGGTCGGCCGCTTTCAGCCAGCCAATAAGATTTCAGCCGGCATACAAAAGTGCGCACGTAATATTTAGTGCACTGATTAGGAAATAAGAGGATAAGGGAATTTATGTTTATTTTTAATAAAAAAATGATACAGGAGAGAATTACTAAGCCAGAGGGGGGTGGTGAAAGTTTTTGGGATATGCTAGTCCAAATTCTGCAACCTCAAGTAAGCTTTTTTCCACTTCTTTTAAGTCTAGAACTTAACCACATATGTGTGTGTTGAATGTGTACTTTTGATTTAATATTTTAATTTGTGTTTTATTGTTGTAGTTTATTGGATTTGAGAAAAAAAAGTTAGACCAGGTTTACTGAGAAACTTTATTATCGCCTAATTCTTTTTGTTATCTAATATAAACCTATTCAAGACATGCTGCTGATTTTATTGCAAAAAATGCAATTAATAAATACTGAGTAGTGATTTTTTTCACACCAGTTGACCAGGTATGGTTCAACTTTTGACCTTACAACCAATAATTGTGTCCCAGAATCCAACATTTTAAGTTATTTTATTAGATAATAGAAGCATATCCTTTTTTATTACTCAGTTTTAAAAGAACTTCGTTCTTCATTTAACAATTTTAAATGCAAGTGAGGATCCCAAATACAAGTTGTAAAGCTGGTATTCATTACAGCAATATTTTATGCGCTTACTAGCTGCATTTTATGCTGTTCTCATTTCACAATCTGATTCAAGTGCTAATTTCTTGTAATTTATCTGTAAACATTGACGTTGCCAAAAAGTTACATATTAGTGGACCCGATTGATGTATGATTTCAACAATTGCGCATAGAACTCATAATGACAAATTTTGTTCTTTCTCCTCACACAATAATATTTCTTTAATTTTCTTGGAATTTTTCTTTATCCAGTGAGGCAATAAATAACATTTAATTTGTGGCTTGTTGGAGCAGAGAATTGAGTAATTAATAGGAAATTTATTAAGCCACTCTACATTCATTATTACCTTCCTTTCTCAAATTCAGAATCCCCTGACCTGCGTTAATGACCACAGGGGGTCACTTTCGCAAGTGGACACTTACGACGTAGTGCACGAAGGTAAGTCCGACAAATGCGTAATTCTGTTTATCTCATTTTGTGACCGAAGTAAACTTTTACTCACATCTGCGTAACAAGCGACACAACGATGCTGAAATTGGCCTAATATGTAGTAATCCATGGATCTCAAAACGTTTCAGTTTTGTTATTAATAAAATTTACTATGGATATTTACATTAATTTGAGATGCATTTTTCATTGATATTTTGACCCACAAACTGAATGCTTGCTCACCTGTGCCCCTGAATGTATCAGTATTTGTGTGAGCTAGTCCCTTCTTCAGTGTTTTATTGTACATTATTTGCCAGTGAAATGACAATGCATTTACCCGTGAAAGATAAAAAAGCTTTTCATAGTGGCAGTTTTCTTCATGGTTCGTTCATTTTGTTACCATGATAAGTGAGGTAGAGTAGGCTATGCATGTTGTTGGTTGTTAATTAGTCTTATAATTTTAAGTGCGAGTAAAATACTCTACAGAATGAGGCTGACCAGGAGAAATTTGTGCTTTGGATCAAAAGCAGATAGGTACAAGAAGTTTATTCCAAACATTTTATATTACCAAAATATGGGCCCTTTTTATCTAAATCGCTAATAACCCTTCAAGCATTCTACAGACCCTTTTACCCACCAACAACATCTTATTAACTCCTTTAAAAGAAAAAAGTGGTGAATTTTAATTCAGTGGGTGTCATTTTCTGCATTAAGTGTTTTCTAAAGATTTTTTTCATTGCAAAGGGTAATGGAAACGAGAGAAGCCGGAGCGACAGTGATCTCTCCTCGTAGTTATTGCCGTTTCCGTCAAAAAAGAGAGCACAAATGAGAGAACGTCATTTATTGATGAAGTCTGCCACAATTTTTAATGCTCCTTTATTTAAAATATTTTCTTGAGTCCCACATGTTTAGTGTTAAGACTGGAGGATTGGATTCCAAATGTAGTACACTTTCGTTGTATTATTAGAATGCTGTCATTATTTAAACAATTAAGTTCTGTGTGGGGTTTTTTCAGGCACTTTAAATAACCTGAAGGTATTTTTAACAGATTTAAAATTGTGTTTAGAATTTCATCTACTGACCGATAACCTATCAGCTCAAAATGATGGCATTTAAAAATAGGTATTTTATTGTACCGTTTCGAAATGGTGTTCATGGAGACTAGGGTGTGTGAGGTTTTGACAGGTGGTTTATTAATTTGACAGCAATTACATCACCTGAGAAAAAATTGTGTATTAACGGATAAAAATAAGCATGAAAGGCAACCTTTTTTCTTGTGCTTCTTTCACGTCCGTCTTTAAAATTTATTATTGGAAAGAACTGTTTGGTGACTGACCAATTGACTCGCAACGAGAAAATGCGTTCATATTTTAGCGTTAAGCGAAGGACCACATTATTACTTATGCGGAAGAGGTTCACTTTCACATAATTCTTAGACGCCGTTTTGTTCATTTCTTTGGTGTGTGCTGAATCGCAGACGGAAGTTTCACCTACTGGAAGACCAAACAATTAGGGATGTAATCCATCAACAAGCGGAAGGTCTGCAAACTTTAAGCAAGAAACAATTAGGTTCAGTGAACTAGGTGTTACGAAGTCTCCACTCTTACTTACATTAACGCAGGGCACACCAAATCACTTACCTTTAAGAAGATTTGAGCCATTAAATGGGAAGTAGATGCTACATCGCCTCCTTCTGGTCCTCTGTTCAGCTCTCTTAATAAGACTTATGGGCGAATTGGGGAATTGGGAAGAGAATCAGTGAGGAAAAGGGAAGTGCCTTGGGTCAAACCGTTCTCTCATAGGGACACAACCTTTACAAAAGTGATGGATTGTAGCAGTCATTTCTGTTCTATTGCAGTTGCAAGAATCAACAAAATTCACTATCCTGTATAATTACCAGCAATAAGTTACGTATTTTTGTAAATTTTGGAAAGAAAACAAAAAACTCATCGCAATTATTTTTTCATGATGCATAAAGCTTAGTTAATTGTCAAATTGGACCGCACATTGGTATAAGTTGTATTTTACTGATCCGTATCCAAAAATGAACATTCATTATTACACTCGTGAATAAAGTTGAACATATTATACATTTGGGAACAAGTAGCATATATTTTGTTTAGGCAAAGGTTTATGTCATTCAACTCTAATTTTGTCAATTTTTGTACTAGGCTTTTCTAAATGAACTTTAATTTTTATACGGTAAGTAGGTTTTCACTAAGGTATTTTTCCTAAATTTTTTGAAAATACTTTAGGCTTAAATTAATTTGAGGTTCACCTTGATAGCGAATTCTTGTGCCATCCAAATAAGTCTATTAATCTCCCTCTCCTTTTACTTAATTACTGTGTAGACCTCCTGGTTTCATGATGCGTCGCTCAAAGCGTTAACAGAAAAAAGATCCAATGATTTTAATTTGGTAACCCACTAATTTGCTTCTTGCCTTTGGAAAAGTAAAAAATGAAGAAAAAAATGTACAAGTCAAATTTACTTTTATAGGCCTGTGTTGAGGCCTTCACAGTCTAACCATAATTGCATTGTGGTCGGTCGGACATTTATGGTCAGCATAACCACGTGCGATTGTTGCCGTGGTGACGATAATGAAACCCGTGCGATTCAGGCGTACGTGTCATTCATTTCACTTCTCAACATTAGTTACGTGACTAAATGATTATGGACATAAAGGTCGCTCAGCCCTGAAGATAGCTTGGATGAACTCTTACTATGGACGTATGGAATATAATGAGTGGAAAGGCTTATGCTAGTCGTCACTCAGTAGTGACCCATCCGATAGACATCACCTTTTTCATTGACTTGCGGACTTACAGTTGAAAGATGTTCTACACCGAAGGTATTCTGATTTTTTGTAGGATATTTTGCCCATGTTCATTTATTGAAAAATACCTTAGCTAGTTGTCCCTCTATTTCCTTCCCCTTTTTACCATTACCCTTCTAGCTATGTTATTGCCAACTTTTCGTTACAAAAAGATTTTGTCCTCTGATTAACCGCCTTGCTTCTTCTAACTTATAGTGCATTCTTCATTTCCCGGCCTTTATGCAAAAGTGCAAATTGAAGTAGTCGATGCGTACTCCTGGAACTTTTATTTAAAACCACGGAGCGTACCTTTCCTACATGATGACCTGTCTTTTGCATAGCAAGTAGTGAATCCGTAGAAATATGTCTTTTTAAGAAACATCACCTAAAGTTACGTTATTCATTAAAAAAGAGAACATTTTGGACCTATATCCAAGCTGGAAGCAGCCTTATGACGGAAGCATACAAGTGACAGAATTTCGGTGGTATTAGGCCGATTAAAACAGATAGTTGACGTGAAGAGGTCTCCGATGTCTTTGTAAGCAAGAAAAATTTTGTTTGTAGGTTAAAGACAAACCAGTTTTTTTATATATCACAGCACGAAATATTATTTAAGTCCTATTAGCAATCAAATCCAATTATTAAGTCCTGAGGTCAAAATCGTATTTTGCCTGTAACAAACCAAAAGGGGTGTTGATACATCTGTGACCTTTGTCAAGCTGCAGCAGTGAGGCACAGATGGCCACGGAGTTTCCAGGCTAGTTTATCTTTCCCACCTGAGAACACTGAACTCTCTTCGTGACTTCGGTAGCTCATATGGCCTCATCAACAAAATATTCGGTATTTATTTTGCATATCTGTAAGGGTGACCAATTTATCACAAATTTGTAAGGGATGCAATTTTTTTGTAGAAGAGCAGTACAAAACTTCAATTTTCTTTTGTAATTGCGCCTTTAAATTTTTTTAATTTAACAAAAATAATTTGTCTCAATTAATAAAAAGCCAAACTTTGTCAGGCTGTGACCCAAAATAGGGGTAAGTAAACCCTAATTTTTGCCTAATCGGCACAACAACGAATAGCTGCATTCACCTCGCGTTGGCATTTTACTTCATCTGTTTGACACCTAGCACTTAGTTGAGGATACTCGACTATTAACAAGAAACTATAATTCTTTTTTACCTCTAGAAGAAAGATATCCAACTCAGCAAGAGAATGTACAAAGAATGTCCTTTGCAGATACGTCTCCTCCCTTTGATCACTATCGGCCTAAGGAGGCACCCACAACTGCTGACGAACCCAAAAAGCATGGTAACTTTATTCCTGGTAGCTGATTAGTTGTTTATTTTATTTTACAAGAAACGTGCTATTTTCTTGCACAGACTAGTTCCGTTAGTTTAACCTTTTCTCGTGAACCGTTATGAGAGGCGATTAATGAAAGTTCGAAAGAAGGATATTTTTCTTGAATTACTTATGAATAGAAATAACTTTGCAGAATCTGCAGGTGTAAAGCGACAAAGGAGCCGCACTAACTTCACGAATCAACAACTAAGTGAATTAGATGCAGCGTTCCGCCTGAGTCACTACCCTGGTCTACGAAGTCGTGAGGATTTGGCTCGACGACTTGACCTCTCGGAGTCTCGGGTTCAGGTGGGTATACCTATTTGGTAATAAGTAGCCTGAGAAGTTCGGATGAGGAAGATTATTTTATTGTGGCATCCGAAACCATAAGCAGGTCGTATAGGTAAGGATTTCGTTAAATTAACGAAAATTAGTCTTATTTTCTCAGATATTTCCACCTTAGCTGGGTCGTTCTTTGGTTACATGTTTGCAACGCTTGCAAGGTTAGTCGAGAGCGTTCAATGGTTGACACCAGCAAGATAGTCGAATCACATGCTTAAAAAGATCCGCACTAACATATACAAAATCAAAACTGACTTTTTCTCTACTATGTACCTTTGCCCATCGCATGCATCCTTGTATTCAGCTCTTCGTGAGGCAAATCTTCCATATTAAAGCGTCGTCGGTCTACTGTTACCTGTGGAACACTAAAGGTCAGATTCTTAGTTAAGCACAATGTAGTAGAAAGCAACACTAAAGACTTAATGACTTTTGCCGAGCAAAAACTTTTTATCAAGTCGCATGGACAAAAGGAGTGATAAAGGAAAGATGATCCAACAGGTTGATTTTATCCTCTTCTTCAGCCCTATGTACTTTCTAGGCCACAAACTTAATTACTTTACAAAAAAATTTGAAAAAGTCAAGAATGCTTGCTTGATGGAGTGACTTGTTGACGTAATTTTTTAAAACTAGTTTCCATGCAATCCATCGGCCTATTCGTACAATTTCTTTATTGTGGTCTCTAGTATTATTTTAAGATGGATGGTATGCCCGATTGTCAAATTCGTGAATAGATTTTAATTCGACTTTTCTTTAAATTTGTTGTACAGCATTCAGAGTTGGAGAGACGAACCAGTTTCATTGCGGTAAATGATT